TTTTGTTGCTTATATCCTTACAATTTATAGTGATATTGTTTCCTGATTGCTTATTTGTACCCTATGACTATCATTAAGTGTTGTACCTTATGAATCTTTTCTTTTATGTACACCGAGAGCCTATGCACCAAAGACAAATTCCTTGTGTGTCCAATCACACTTGGCCAATAAAGAATTCTATTCTATTCTATTCTATTCTATTCTATTCTATTCTATTCTATTCTATTCTATTCTATTCTATTCTATTCTATTCTATTCTATTCTATTCTATTCTATTCTTTTTATTGTTTCCTAGTATGATTTGATTGCTTATTTGTACCCTGTGACTATCATTAAGTGTTGTACCTTATGATTCTTGATGAACATATCTTTTCTTTTATGTACACTGAGAGAGTATGAACCAAAGACAAATTCCTTGTGTGTCCAATCACACTTGGCCAATAAAAAATTCTAATTCTAATTCTAATTCAATCTAATGTCTACGGAGATTCTCAATCATCTAGGTCATGGTTGTTCCAAAGGTGTTTTTTTTTCCCAAAAGGCAACTTGCCTTCCTTTTTGTTTGTGTTTGAACTGAAGAAGCTTCTTGGATGAGAAACAAAATGTTTTCAAAGAAAAAATAAAAACCAAGGAAGTACAATTGCCCTTGGAGGGGGGGGAAAGACATCTTTGGACAATATATGAATTGTCTACCATCTCAATAAAAAATAGCAACAGCACTTAGACTTATATACCACTTCACAGTGCTTTGCAGCCCTCTCTAAGCGGTTTACAGAGTCAGCATATTTTCCCCCAACAATCTGGGTCCTCATTTTACCCACCTCGGAAAGATGGAAGGCTGAGTCAACCTTTAGCCGGTCAGAATCGAACTGCTGGCAGTCTGCAGAGTTAGCCTGGCGTACTGCCATCTAGCAACTGTAACCCTAATGCACAACATGCAGGAAAGGATTTTAATTTAATTAACCAGGAGCCTGGTTTAGCTCAACAGACAGAAGCACTGTAGTTTAACACCAGCTGTCTGCAATTAAAGTAAGATCGAATCCCGCCAGGCTCAAGGTTGACTCAGCCTTCCATCCTTTCTAAGGTAGGTAAATTGAGGACCCAGTTTGTGGGGGCAATAAGCTGACTTTGTATAAAATATACAAAAGTATGAAGGCTATTGCTTAATGCATTGTAAGCCACCCTGAGTCTCCGGAGAAGGGCGGCATATAAATCAAATTTAAAAAAAAATTCACTTAATAACTGTGGTTGACTTTGTGGGGTGGGTTGCTTCCTTATACATCAGGTGGCCATTCGATCTAGGTCAGAATTGCTCGTTGTGGCTTTCAAAGGGCAGCCTTTCCTTGAAGGACTGGATTGCTAACATTCCAGGGGGAGGAAAAGTGGTATTTTGGGGCCACATCTGGAGTCTTGCAACCCAGACTTTCCTGGAGCCAGATGTTAAACTCAAGTCTGCAAAGGAAGAGCTCCTACAGAGCTCTGGACCTTTTTATTTGGCCTTTTCATGACAATCTTTTGAGACCCCCATGCAGAAGAATCTTTCCCCAATTGACAAAGGTCACCCAGTTGTGCTGTTGTAGGGCAGGAGGAACTAAATATACGTATTTATTGCCCTTATCACTTCCCCTCCCATTTAAATCCGGCAGTAACTGCGTAGAGGAAATTAATCAGCAGTAGTAATTGCCCTCTGATTCTCATGGCCAGATTTTGCAGACGGGGGCTGTTAGGATGTCCCCATTTCCCTGGGTTTCCTCAAGACACTAAACTCCAACCACGCCTCATGTCTGTGTTTGGACTTAGCCAAGGGAAAGCTTTGTAGCCAAGCAGACTTTTGAAGCTCTTTTATTCAGAGCCTTCCTGCCTCTACAGGACAAGGCCAAATAAATTACTCTGGAGTCAGATCAGGCCGGCGAATAGGCTTTTTCTGCAAAAAGCAGCCCAGGCAGTGATTTGAACCCCCCTAATTTTTAGGAGCAATCCTAGAAAAGCATCTGGTTTGGTCTGGTCTCTTTAAAGCAGCCCCAAGGCTGGGAAAAAGGTAAAGGTGAAGGTTCCTCTCGCACATATGTGCTAGTCGTTCCCGACTCTAGGGGGCGGTGCTCATCTCCAATTCAAGACCAAAGAGCCAGCGCTGTCCGAAGATGTCTCCGTGGTCATGTGGCCGGCATGACTCAACACCAAAGGCGCACGGAACGCTGTTCCCTTCCCACCAAAGGGGGTCCCTATTTTTCTACTTGCATTTTTTTAAACGTGCTTTCGAACTGCCAGGTTGGCAGAAGCTGGGACAAGTAATGGGAGCTCACCCCGTTACGCGGCACTAGGGATTCGAACCACTGAACTACCGACCTTTCGATCGACAAGCTCAGCATCTTAGCCACTGAGCCACCTTTGGGAAAGCAGGAGGGAAAAGCAGGTTCAGTTTTTGGAGATCAACTGCAGAGAAATTTTCCCAGATGGAAATATTGGATCGCAAAGGGTTATACTTGACTCCATCTCTATAACTGAGTCCTTTGAGGACTGTCTGTCTGTCTGTCTGTCTGTCTGTCTCTGTCTCTCTCTCTCTCTGTAGTCTTTCTGCTTGTCTGCATTCAAATGGGGATGGTTCTGTTGGAAAGAGTGGGGCAGGGCTTTGCAAAGGGGGATGATAGGCCATTTTAAGGAGTACAATATTCTTAGACTTAAGTTCGCTGGCAATTTTCTTTAAGGCTTTGTGTATAGTGGAATAAGGGGTTAATTGAGTGGAAGAAGAGTGGGTTGCCTAGAAGTGCTTTCCCTTTACTTAATAATAATGAAAATATTGGCAATGTTCACACAACAGGCCTTGGAGGGCACCTGAACTTCCCAGATGAAGAGGGAAGCAGAGCAACTCAAGTTTAAAGATGGTCTGTTTGTGGGAGAGAGAGAGAGAGAGAGTTAAAAACCTGCCTTTCTCATTTTTAGAAATAACTCAAAGTGGCAAACAGATCTAATCCTCCTCTTTTCTCCTATTTCCCCCACAACAACCCCATGAGAGCTGAGCAAGACTGAATGGCCCAAACGCCACCCAGGCAGCTTTCACACGGAAGGCAGGATTCGAACTCAAGTTTCCTGCTTTCTACCCTGCCCTTGGCTGCCTTGGAACGGGAATCGGAGTTTCCCCCAGTTCTGCTGAAGGTGGCCAGAAAGAAGGGCTGCATTTCCCCCAGTCTGGAAGGCCTCAATCGCTGCCTTTCCCTTCCCGCCTTTAGCTGGGGACGATGGGGATTATAGTCAGCAGGATGTTGGGTTGTGTCAAAGGGAGTTTCAGGGGAAGGTAGGAGGAGGCAGGGAGGGTTTATGGGGGGGTGGAAAGTGGAATGTGTGTAAATGGTATAAGGGTCTCTTGGCTGGGCAGGGGGGTGGACTAGATGACCTACCAGATCCCTTCCAACTCTGCTGATCTGAATCTTACTAGGAAGAAACGGATTAGAAACGTTTGAGTCAGTTTGCAAAGGATGCTGCGGGCGCTTCATCGCCGGAGGGAAGAAGAGGTTGGAGGAGCCTTTGGCTGAAATCTTGGAGGGTCTCCTGCTTGAGGAGGGGGTTGGACTAGAGGACCTCTCAAGGTCCCTTCCGGCTCTAGTCCGATGGAAACAGCTGGAAACGCTTCCCCGCCTCTCTCGGGCGCTCCGCTCCGCAGCCTCGCAAGGGGGGCAGCCAAGGGCGGGACACGCGCGGGGTCTCTTTGGTCCGGGCGGCGGCGGCGGCTTCTTCTGGGGCTGGAGCTCCGCCTGAGCCGCGTCTCTTGGCCGACGCAGGAAAAGGAGGGAAGCCGAAGGGAGAGTCCCAGGCCAGGCAAAGCGGCGGAGGGAAGGGCGCCTCTCCCGGATTCCGGGCTGCCCGCGCGGGCTCAGGAGAAGCGGAGGGAGGAGGAGGAGGAGGAAGAAGAAGAGGAGAGAGGAGGAGGAGGAGGGAGGAGGAAGAAGAGGAGGGAGGAGGAAGAAGAGGAGGAGGTAGAGGAGTAGGTAGGGGAGGGAGGAGAAGGAGGAGAAAGGAGGGAGGAAGAAGAGGAGGGAGGAGGAGGAAGGAGGAGGTAGAGGAGGAGGTAGGGGGAGAGGAGGAGGAGGAAGAAGAGGAGAGAGGAAGAAAAGGAGGAAGAGGAGGAGGAGGAAGAGGAGGAGGAGGTAGAGGAGGAAGAGGAGAGAGGAGGAAGAGGGAGAAGAAGAGGAGGAGAGAGGAGGAGGAGGAAGAAGAGGGAAGAGGAGGAGGAAGAAGAGGAGGAGGAGGTAGAGGAGAGAGGAGGAGGAGGAAGAAGGAGAGGGAGGAAGAGGGGGGAGGAAGGAGGAGGAAGAGGAAGAAGAGGGAGAAGGAGGAGGAGGTAGAGGAGGAAGAAGAGAAGGAGGAAGGGGAGGAGAGGAGAGAAGGAGAGAGGGTGTGAGAAAGGGGAAGGAGGAGGAAGAGGAAGAAGAGGGAGGAGGAGGAGGAGGTAGAGGAGGAAGAAGAGAAGGAGGAAGGGGAGGAGAGGAGAGAAGGAGAGAGGTGTGAGAAAGGGGAAGGAGGAGGAAGAGGAAGAAGAGGAGGAGGAGGAGGAGGTAGAGGAGGAAGAAGAGAAGGAGGAAGGGGAGGAGAGGAGAGAAGGAGAGAGGGTGTGAGAAAGGGAAGGAGGAGGAAGAGGAAGAAGAGGGAGGAGGAGGAGGAGGTAGAGGAGGAAGAAGAGAAGGAGGAAGGGGAGGAGAGGAGAGAAGAGAAGGAGAGAGGGTGTGAGAAAGGGGAAGAAGGAGGAGGAAGAAGAGGAGGAGGAAGGGGAGGAGGGAGGGTCGCCGCAGAGCGAAGACCCCGTTGAGACCCGCGGCGGCGGCGCCGTGCGGGAGTTCCTTGGGCATTCCCCCCTCCCGCCCGGGCCGGCTGGCTTGGCCTCCTGCAGGGCGGGGCGGGGGTCTCCTGGCGGCCCCCGGGAGCCGCCTTGGCAGCGTCATCGAAGGCTCCGCGTGGCTGTGGAGCGGCCGGACGGGCGGCTGGAGGCGGCGGAGGCGGCGGGCGAGGAAGGAGCCTCGGCGGCGCAGCGCTGGTGGCGGCGATGTTTGCCAGGCGGGGCGTCTACTGGCTGCCTCCTTGCAGCCCCGGCGGTGAGTCGGCGTCGCCTTCGGGGCAGCCTTTGCCTCCTTCCCGGCTTTAGCCTGCCGGACTCCCGGCTCTCCCCCTCCCCGGAGGGCGCCCCAAAACCCCCGGCTATCCCCCCCCCCGATTCCCTGGAAAGGCTCGTGGGAGCGTTTGCTGAGCGTTCTCGGGTTTCTTTGAGCCGCGCGGGGCGGCTCGCTTCCGAGATGGGCGGCATATATATACTGTATATTCAATAAGTGACTAAAGGCATCTCTCTCCTATCTGTCTGTCTGTCTGTCTGTCTATCCATATCTATCTATCTATCTATCTATCTATCTATCTATCTATCTATCTATCTATCTATCTATCATCTATCATCTATCAATCTATCCATATCTATCTATCTATCTATCTATCTATCTATCTATCTATCTATCTATCTATCTATCTATCTATCATCTATCATCTATCAATCTATCCATATCTATCTATCTATCATCTATCTATCTATCCATATCTATCTATCTATCTATCTATCTATCTATCTATCTATCTATCTATCTATCTATCTATCATCTATCAATCTATCCATATCTATCTATCTATCTATCTATCTATCTATCTATCTATCTATCTATCTATCATCTATCATCTATCAATCTATCCATATCTATCTATCTATCATCTATCATCTATCATCTATCAATCTATCCATATCTATCTATCTATCTATCTATCTATCTATCTATCTATCTATCATCTATCAATCTATCCATATCTATCTATCTATCTATCTATCTATCTATCTATCTATCTATCATCTATCATCTATCAATCTATCCATATCTATCTATCTATCATCTATCTATCTATCTATCTATCTATCTATCTATCTATCTATCTATCTATCATCTATCAATCTATCCATATCTATCTATCTATCTATCTATCATCTATCATCTATCAATCTATCCATATCTATCTATCTATCTATCTATCTATCTATCTATCTATCTATCTATCTATCATCTATCATCTATCATCTATCAATCTATCCATATCTATCTATCTATCTATCTATCTATCTATCTATCTATCTATCTATCTATCTATCTATCTATCATCTATCAATCTATCAATCTATCCATATCTATCTATCATCTATCTATCTATCTATCTATCTATCTATCTATCTATCTATCTATCTATCTATCTATCTATCATCTATCATCTATCAATCTATCCATATCTATCTATCTATCTATCTATCTATCTATCTATCTATCTATCTATCTATCTAATCTATCTATCCATCCCTATCTATCTATCATCTATCATCTATCTATCTATCCATATCTATCTATCTATCTATCTATCTATCTATCTATCTATCTATCTATCTATCTATCTCTATCTATCTATCTATCTATCTATCCATCCTATCTATCTATCTATCATCATCATCTATCTGTCTATCCATATCTATCTATCTATCTATCTATCTATCTATCTATCTGTCTATCTATCTATCTATCTATCTATCTATCTCTATCTATCTCTATCCATCCATCCATCCCTATCTATCTATCTATCATCTATCATCTATCTGTCTATCCATCCATATCTCTATCTATCTATCTATCTCTCTATCATCTATCTCTCTATCCATACATCTCTCTCTCTCTCTCTCTCTTCATCCATCCATCTCTATCTATCTATTTATCTATCTATTTATCTGTCTATCGATCCGTCTCTGTCTCTGTCTCTGTCTCTGTCTCTGTCTCTGTCTCTGTCTCTCTCTCTCTCTCTCTCTCTCTCTCTCTCTCTATCTATCTATCTCTCTGTCATCTCTCTATCATCTATCTGTCTATCCATCCATATCTCTCTATCTATCTATCGTGAATAAAGGCAGGCTATGTGGGAAGGCAGTTCCGCGCAGACCAGTGGGAGAAGCGGGGGAGACGCGCATGGGATGGCTAAGGCAAATGCGCCTCTTCCGGAGACCTTGGCTGCAACTGTTCCCATTTTCAATCAGCCGCAAATTATTGGGTGGGATAATAATAGGGGTAAGAGGAAAGCAGATTGAGGCACCTGGGCTGCTGGCCTCAGCAACCTTCAAATGGATTCCTTCAAAAGCTTTTTTTTTTTTTGTTGCCCCAGCGGCTAACAGAATTCAAAATACAGCCTGATTTTAAACCATCAGTGGGTCTGGATTGTCTCGCTAGAAGTGAGCTTTGTGGAGGTCTTGGTAGATTAGCTTCCAAGAATAAGTGTGCAAAGGGTGGCCTTGAGATCAAAGCATAGGGTGTGAAATGTGATTGGTTGGTTTGCTGGATGGAGATTCACTTTTCAGTGCCTGATTCACACATGTATGCTTTGTACTGCAGGACGCAGAAATCAAATGTAACCCCCTTCCTCAGCATATCCGCTCCAAGATTGAATGGGGGGGGACACCTAAAATCCCCTAAAATAGGACAAAGATGCTGCAGTGTGTGAGCAGAGATTTGATAGATTTATTTCATGTTTAAATGCCCCCCTGCCCCATCTCAGGAAAACTTGAATCTGGGTGGCAACATTTTATACAACAACTATAAAATGTTATTTAAAAAAAACAAGAAATCCAAAGAATTAAAAATTGTGATTAAAAGGCAAAGAGAGAGCAGCAGGTCTTAACTACAATGGAGTCACCACAACAACTCACCAGTTTCTTATGCCACCACCTCCCCCAACCCCCCAAGCCTCATGGCATAGACACATTTCTGGAAAATCAACAGGGATGGAGCCTCCCTCATTTGGGGGGGGGCAATGATCTATATGGTGGGTGCCTTGGCAGAAAAGGCCCATCTTCTATGTCCCACCCAATATAGCTCTTTTGACAGATGGGATTTGGGGCATGTTTTTCCTGCCGGACTTGCTGGGTTCAGCTGGAAAACATCTGATTTTTTTTTTTAAAAAGTGGGAATACAAACATTTCATTTTCATTATCTAATATGGAAAGAAACGCCCTTTCCAAAACAGTTTGTGGACAGAGGAAAAAAGGGTGGGAGATTAGGCCACAATCGATCAATGATCAACAAAGTTGATCTAACTGCTGCCTAGAAATATGAATAAATCTGGCTCCAAGTTCATCTTCCTCCTTCTATTTTCTCCAGAAACACCACCTTGTGAGGTGTGTTGATCTGAGAAAAATTTGACTGGCTCAAAGTCACCCAGCTGCCTTTTATGGCTGAGGCGGGACTAGAACTCACGGCCTCCCGCTTTCTAACCTGACGCCTTTAAACTGGCTTTCAAAGCTGTCAAGAAATCTGGATAAATCTGGCTCCAAGTTCAAATGGGAAGCCAAGTGGGACTTCCAAAACCATTATCCTTCCACCTCTCCTATCTTGCAGACTGGGTAGTGCTCTTTAATACTTAAAGTTTAAATTGGTTTTAAATTGATTGGGGTTTTAATCTGTCTGGGCCAAACTATTTAATTTGATTTTATTTCTGCTTTTTAAATTTTGTATGTATGTGTTTTATTGTTGGCTGTTCACCGCCCTGAGTCTTTCGGGAGTAGGGCGGTATACAAATCAAATAAAAGTAAAGTAAAGTAAAGTAAGGCAGGGGGTATCCTAACTTGGCATCTTAAATACTTGTGGACTTCAACTCCCAGAATTCCCCAGCCAGCATGAAATACTGTGAGCTGAAGTCCACATGTCTTAAAAGTTGCCAAGTTTGGAGATCCTTGCTTATAAGGCAATCTTTCTCAGTTGTGACAATTTTAAAATGTGTGGATCTTCAACTCCCAGAATTCTCTAGCTGGCAGGCTGGCTGGGGAATTGTGGGATTTGAAGTCCACACTTCTTAAACTTGCCAAGATAGAGAGAAACATTGCTCTCTCCGTTAAAAGGATAATCCTTTTAATAACATCCTGAACAGTTTGGGAATTCTACAAGATAGTTTTAATATGCACAAACTTATTCTGGGAGCAACGTAGCCACATTCTTAAGGAGAACCCACAGTAGTCTCTCTCTCATCTTACTTTTCTGTTTACTTTAAAATTAAACACTGGTTAAGAATGCCTTCATAAGGTAAAGGTAAAAGTTCCCCTCGCACATATGTGCTAGTTGTTCCCGACTCTAGGGGACAGTGCTCATCTCCGTTTCAAAGCCAAAGAGCCAGCACTGTCCAAAGACGTCTCCGTGGTCGTGTGGCCGGCATGACTCAACGCCAAAGGTGCACGGAACGCTGTTCCCTTCCCACCAAAGGTGGTCCCTATTTTTCTACTTGCATTTTTATGTGCTTTCGAACTGCTAGGTTGGCAGAAGCTGGGACAAGTCACAGGAGCTCACCCCGTTACGCGGCACTAGGGACTCGAACCGCTGAACTGCCGACCTTTCGATTGACAAGCTCAGCGTCTTAGCCACCGAGCCACCATATCCCAATGCCTTCATAAAACAAGCTAATTGCTAATAAACTTCACTGTTCCTTGAATGTAAACGCCCTTGAGCTTTTCAGGTTCAGCTTATAAAAGCTTTAACCAGATGCTTGGATTGGTGTTACTAGTTGAAAACCGGTATTGTAGCGTAAAGTTCTCAAAGCAAGAATCTATGAAAAAACTTCCAGGGTTTTTGCTTAATTGTGTTCCTCATTCTCTGACTTCTTTAACTTATCACATATACTACTAAAGCTTGAAAGCATTGTTATCGCTTGCTAACAAAAGGGTGAACATTCACCCTTTGGGGATAGTTTTATTATTCCTTTTCATCTCCTCCTTACATTATACCATAGACTGGTATCAGGGTAACTAATTTGATTAAAATTGGTAAAACTAGTCTTGAGAAATGAATTGAGATGGTCTTCCCATCCCATTCATAAACAAGCCCCCAAGTTTGGAAAATCTGTTTACTCTAAAATATAGGATTCTATAAAGCCATAGTAAGACTACACCTAGAGTACTGCATCCAGTTTTGGTCCCCACACTATAAGAAAGGTGTTGAGACTCTAGAAAAAGTGCAGAGAAGAGCAACCAGGATGATTAGGGGAC